GTGCACGCGATTCGACCTCTCCTACGCTGCCCTACAACTTTCCAAGGCCTGCAGCAACCCAGCGCAGGTGAACATGACAGCAGCCAAGCACGTTCTGCGATACCTTCGGGGTAATCCAGTTCTTCCTATCGTCTACAAGAGAGGACAGTTTCGGCTAGCGGCGTTTACGGATACATCCTTCGGAGCAAACCCCGATAACGGAAGATCTACCACGGGATATCTCTTCTTTCTGGCTGGAGGACTCATCAGCTACGGTGCGAAGACTCAAACTCTAACCGCGCAAAGCACGGTCGAAGCCGAGATTCAAGCACTTAGCTACTCAGCCAGAGAGGCGGTCTACATCTCAAATTTTATGACGGAACTCAACTTCAAGACCTTCGGATCGGTTCCCATCAACAGCGACAGCACCGGAGCGCTGACAGTGGCCGGGAATGCCATGCACTCTCAACGCACGAAGCACGTGGCCCTGAGGTACTTTTTCATCCGGGAGCTAGTACTACGGGGACAAATCACTCTTCACCACCGGCCCAGCGAGCACCAGTTGGCTGATATCGCGACCAAGTACCTCCCAAAGCACCGATTCGCCTCCATCATTCAGCAGATTAAGGACTTCTCGTGTTGATCGAAGATCTGTGAAGCTCCCTTCCATACCAGAAGGAATTTATTTTCGATACGGTGCCAACGGAGGGGTCGAGGTAGACAAGGATATGGTGATGCCGTCGACCATTGTGAATTAGTTGCTTGATCGAGGGGATGTGTCAGGAAAATCGTGCGTCGAGACCACCAGTAGTCGGACACGGTTTGACCTTTGAATGCGATTGCAGCAACAAGTCTGCGTAGCAGTAGAAAAGTATCCATCTCTCCTTGGCATGTATTCTCTTGTTCTAGAAATATTCCGGAAGCATGCTAGGTCAAGGTTGACCGGGACATCTATGTAGAACGTGTGTAGCTTCTGGAAGCCTTCTGGAAACTTCTGGTTCCTCCTGTAGCCTCTGGAAGTCTTTCTGGAAACTTCTGGTTCCTTCTGTAAGCTTCTGGAAGCGTTCTAGATCTAGGTTGCAGTTGATACTCTTCTAGAACGTAGGAGGGCTTCCAGAAATCATTCTGGAAGCATTCTGGATCTTTCGTGTGATTGGCTTATTTGTCCGGTATTCGAGAAGAGTGGTGCAGCCCTAAGCTCGCCCACTCCTCTCACTCCTCTTCAGTACCAGCAACATCAATCTGACTCGGGAGTCAGCAATTAATCTTCATATTTCCATTCCAAGTCTCTCGCGGTTGGAGCCGCACAGAGTGTGAACCTCTGAGGTAGGCTTCACAGCCTCCTGGCATCTGCAGCATCGTGCTGCTGCTAGAGCACAGCGAAATATCGCTGACAGCCTGTAGGGTGTCCTTTCTAGAATCCAGCATGGAGTCCACCCATATTAATGTGCAACCTCGAACATGATGTCTGCTCACCTCTGCTTTGCGGTAGTCATGACGATCTCCTCACAAAACACAATTCACATCCACTGCCGCTGGCTCTACAGCACTGTACGCCGGCCTTCAATCTATCTTATTTGTAATCGTTCCGGCACAGAGTCTGCGTCATCCGTATTTCTCCTGTTCTGTGATTACAATGTCTACTGCTCGACAACATCCTTGCGACAGCGGCCGAAGATTCTGTGAGGAGACGGATCCATTACGTACATGTAATCACGCTACTGCTGTAGCATAATCGTCACAAGCAAACTATTTGAATTCCCCGCTGTTGGCACTGCAACACGTTCCGCAACCCGCGGCTTTGTACTGCACCAGTTGCTTCTGCCGTTCGACCTGTTGTATCTTCTGCCGCCCTACATTATCGACCGACAGTTTCGACCTAAAGAAGACTTGGCATCCGCCACTACTTACTGTTGACTCTGAAACACTGCGCGCCGGCCTTCAATAGGTAGAGAAGACTTCGCGTCTGCTATATTTTGCATCAGATCCTTCGACATGTATCATCACGAACGAACACCACCCTGTCCAGACCTAGTGCTGAAATCATGACATGTAGTCAACATAAACAATCGTCACAAGAATATGTTTGAACACCGCAGTCGGCACTACAACACGTTCCGCAACCCCCGCCTACACTACACGTTGAATCTTCGGTCGTCGACATTACTAAAATTATCCACCCACCACATCTTCGTCGGGGCCGACATAAATATCATCGACCGCCTGGCTAACAACACACAAGTATTACTCTTTGGTTGCCACATAAGTATCCCAGATTCCGTTGTATCCGACCGCCACAACCAACGACACGCGCATCTGCTTTTCTCTTCGAGACTTCGCGCCACGTCCGGACCCATGCAGGCAACAATTAATTGTGGTCTACGCATGCGTGGGATGGGTGCGGCGGTTTGATAAGCAGATGGAGTAGAGGCAATAAGCATTTCGGTACGAAAAAAGGGTTTAAGTCTCAGACGATGTGAAGTCCTGACGTCCGTCCGTCCGTGGCGTAGATATCGGTGAAAAAAAATGATGAAACGAGGGGAAATTTCGTGAAAGGTCGATGCCCGATCACCATCAAACGTGAAGCGGAAGGACGACGGGTGGGTGTAGAAAGTTTAATGAGAAGGGAACGCGTTCAAGGATGAGATCGAAGATGGTCTCCAGTCTGTGCATGACTGAGATGCTGTCACCTACGCTTTCGAACAACGTATGGCCTCTTATCGGAGGCTCGTAGGCAACATCACCTATTGAGGTTTGTTGCCTCCAACAAACTGTCAGCTACAACCCTTCACGAAGACTTTGTTGCTACAGGTTGACGCAAGGTCGCGTATTTATTGGTCAGCGCGGAGAACATCCTGTCGGAATACATCACTGCACGCTCGAGCAGCAGAAATCTTAAACAGTTTCCGGACGATGTAGTCTACAGCAGTAGAACACCTTGTGAATGATAATGGCAGATTGAGCAGAGAACTTTAGTCTGAATCAACGCGAAACGAATTATGTGCATGCTTCAACACTGCGGGTGCATGCGCTAAGACCTGTCCACAGCAGCAGCATTTCACTTCACCCGGTGCCTCGCATCGAAGTGTACCCTTCGGCGTGCAGCAGCAGGTATCTCATGCAGCTGATGTCGCAATGATGCGCTATTATGAGTTTTCGTCATCCCGCAGAAAATAATCGGTGTGGGTAGCAATGAAAGCAATATTAATGTCACCCCCCCCAAGCAGGAGACACAACACATGGAATGCGGTGTTCTGTAGTTCGGCTGCCGCAACGAATGCAGGCCACGGGTCGACGCAAGGCCGCATGTCATTGTTGAGCACGGAAAACGTCCCGTTGGAGAACGGGTCACAGCACGCTACAGCAGCGATGATCTGTAGATGCAGTCTACGGCAGTAGAGCACCTTGTTATCGACGATGGCAGATTGAGAACAGCGTATTTTTTATGTTTTGTCCGAAACAACAGAACCTACACGAACCAAACATGTTCAACACCGCGGGAGCGTGCGCTTATACTTACGTACAGCAGCAGCCTTTCACTTTACCCGGTGGTGTTGCATTCAAGTACCCTTCGCGCGGTTGCAGGAGGTATGTCATGCAGCCGAGTTTGAAAGAATGAGCTATATAGTTTTCGGTTGTAGCCAGCGAACTTCACGTGTACTAGGTATGGGGGGGTAATGAGCCGCGTGGTGCGACTCAATACCTTGCAGTAGCCTTATCTGTGACGCTGATGGTGCACCAATCCCGACACACACCAGCGTGAATCGTTTGTGGTGCAGCTACGTGTGCACCACAGAGGGACAGCAGGCGTGCGACGGGAGCGACGATGATTGCATGTGCGGCCACCGTAAAAGGATTTGCAATTTACATGCGGTTGCTTCTTTCCGTTTTGATGCACATGCACGAAGAAACATGTGAGGTCTTCCCGCTGTGCGGACGCAGAAGCACACATGCGGCATCCCCCTGGCGGCGAGCGTATCACAAATCACACCTTCGAGGAGCACGACCAGCAACATAGACATAGGATTGTGACGCGACAGATGGCAAATATTGCGTCAGGCTCACAACTTTCCCGCCACATTCGTCTCAAGCCTTCCGAGTTTCTCGCCCAAGTGAAAGGAAGCAGTCCAGCATGAACCAAAAACAACAAAAGCCGTACTATTGTCATGTGACGTCATGACCTTGATGCGAGAGGCGGCGAGGCCCTGCTGCAGCCCTGCAGCAGTAAGAACAGCATGAGAGGCACGGCTTTCTTGGCGAGGACCGTCAGTAGCGCGGCGCAAGTACGCAATCTGAACCGATCCCGCGGGGAACCATTCTGATCACGCACAGCAGTAGCAGTAGTAGACCCTCACACCCTCGACGTATTGTCTCGATGACGGTAGGTGTGATCTGGACTTGGGAAAAAGTGGTGTTTGTGTGATCATCGGTCTGCTCTTTTTCAAGCAGTTGGTTGGACCCAGTCGACATGAATACACACCCGCCAGGTTACACATGGCGCATACCTATAGTATACCCACGGCACACAGGCTGGCTCGGCCCCTCCTGGTTGTTATTGCTGGTCTCAGACCATCGTTTCATCGGCGGTGATGCGTGGGTTGGTGGTGTTTATGCGTTCTGGGGGAGAAGCGTCTCTGCAGCGGCGGGTGTGTGCTGTGTGCAGCGGTCGCTTGGTAGGCTGCGGTTGTACGGCAGCTGTTGTTGTACATCAGCCTACACAGAGGTTACAATTCGAGTGCGCGTGCAACTTGATGTGTGCCTTGGAACGAAGAAGCACAGAAAGGTGTTTGATTACTGACTGACTCCCGCGTCAGGCTTTGATGGTGCTAGAGTGGAGTGAGTACAAAGGGGTCGAGAACGCGCTTGTGTCTCGTCTCGAATACAAAAAACAAAGTAACACAACCGTTCAAAACAGGGTTTCCCCGAGATCTACACGCGTACTGGTATCTCGGGGTCTATTTGGGACAACCCAAAAACGTTTCACCGCAAATATTCCGATAACCAAGAGTCTCCCTGCTCGACTTCAACATATTCCGTCAATCTTTCTGACGTATTCAGAGTCTCCCTGCTCGACTTCTACACGCAGGCTTCTACCACTCACTGCTGTGTATCTAGGACAAAACTCTCAACCTATCATCCCTAGGCTACACACGTAGAACGCACGTACTTGCCATGAGCAAATATGCATCACATAGACAGAGACGTCTTGTTGTGTTGCTGCAAACGACTACCAAGAGAATTGCGTGACCATGATGGAATAGTGCAGGTATCCAGCCATGATGCATATCTCCGACACGACCCCTCGATCAAGTGACACGACAAACGGTACAGCTCCTAAGACCCATCAATGATTCACCAACGATCGACTAGTGATAGCACGTGCCGGCGAACTTTCGTGTATGGCTACTTGCTGCTTCGATTATCATATATATAGACTATCATGTATCTCAGTCGGTCTACACTCCCCACACACACACACGTTTTTGCCCGGGGAAGGCAAGACTCCCATGCTGCTGCGTATCATACCATGCAGATCGTACCTACCCACCGCTGGCTGCGTATTGCGTCATACAGAGGATATCCCCAGCACGACTCCACGTTGGATTTAGTACTGCAACAAATGTCCATGACCAGAGTAGGTCTGTAGACTCTCATGCAAAGCTTATCTTAACAGCAGTATGTGTGTATCCAAAGCTACATATGTGACCCCGGTTGGGTCGTCTACCTGGAAGTTTTGGAGGATAGGGGCCAGAGGGGCAGATGACAGAGTCCGATTATGGGAGACAACAAAAAAAAATGTACGTGCATGTACGTCTGATAGTAGTGTAACGGGTTTTGACTTCCTCTTCATTCATTCATGCATGCCGCTGGACATCGACGTTCCTTGGTGCTTCTCAGTACGGACTGCGCGTATGGGTATGAGGCAGTATCAGGAACCACCCGCGGCAAACCGCTGTTGACGACTATGCTGCACTGCACGGCGACTCTTTTTGGCTTCCAGCCGTACAAACTCGAAGTGCTACTAGTCGCAACTTCGGAGTTTTCAAAAATCAAAAATGGATTGTGTAGATGGCCTTTCTTATCATCCCGTGGATAGGTTTCCGCTGGGTCTTGAGGAACTTAGTTTTGTATTGATGGCATGTATGCTTTATCGACTAATATTGTACGCCCGTCTTCTTTCTTGTTGTGCTTCACTTCCTCCCGAATCCTCACCGCAGTCCGTCTGGATATGGCCGCCCGCCCCGTAGGGGTGCGGGGTGCCAATTCTCAACCCTAGTACAACATTAACACGATGACAATTCGAACGGTGACAAAAAAAAACTGGTTAGTTTTGTTTGAGAGATTCCAAACTGGCAGAGACCACGATACCGGAAACACCGTCCTGCGGCCTTTCTATCGTGCTTCTGCCTCTCTCCCACTAAATACTTTGTCCCTCTCTTCCCTCCAAACAACAAGCGAGGGTGCTCTGTCATGCGGTGGAGGGCACCACTCCTACTGCACACAGTAGTCTCAGATGACCAAGTTCCGATAATGGTACCCTACCGTCTTCTTCGTCAACTTCGAGGTCATAGTGACAGTGCGATTAGCTCCTGTTATTGACTACTCCACACCGTGCCTTACCCGATTGCCACCCGACTTGTTTTTTCGTGCCGTGCGGGACACCACTGTACACAGCTCCTTCTCAGTCATCTTACTTTACATTCGTGCCCTTCGAGATTCTCCTTGCAGTTTGTAGCCCCCAACCACCATACGCAAGCAGTTCTCCCAACCCTGAGCAAGTGCAGGACCCTTTTGGTTTCTTGGATTCATTCCTACTTCTAAAGTATGTGCCTCCAAGCTCCGCGAGTTTGGTCATACTCCAGAGCTTGCACTGCCCAGCCTTTAAGACACGACATTAACAGCGCATCATCGGGCAACGGGGCACCACACAACAAATTCACCTCCAAGCAACTGCTCCGTCGAATGCTCTATATCCCGATCATGGGTCGTTACCCTCATCTCGATCAAGAAAACGAATATTAGCCTTCTGCGATGTACGACGAAATTCCTGACCACAGCGGCGTGACTACAGCGGGAAAAATACTGGCACTCGGGGGTGAAACGTGTAGCTTCCTGCACGTTGTCGCCACATCGACCAGTTGCCCCGCCCCGCGATTGAGGACACGGGGAGGTCAGCCATCAGGTCTGAATTCGCCTGTGTCTTAATCTCGCTGCGACTCTTGTTGCTTCGTCGTCAGAGCGCCCCCGAGCCCCGTCGAAATATTTGGTCAAGGTGCCCGAGCGTTGCATACATTTCTCCCACGTAATATCCGGTTGCCATCTACATCACCGTCCGCACCAAACGCGCCCGGCCTCATTCGGCCGTGTGTTTCAAGCAACACCGCTCTCGGCGACCCTTCCGTGGCGACCCTGTCCATTCTACCGCCACCCCCGGGCCGAGGGCCGCGGTCCGCCGAGATGACCGTGCACGGGATGTGCCTCCTGCTGCTCCCCGACCGGGCGTAAGCACTCGCTCCCGTGAAAATGTTCGCGGCGTGGGGCACCCGGCAGACATATTCACCATCGCGGTTCCTTGAAGGGATCACCTGGCAGGTCCGGCCGCCATCCCCGCCCACCGGTCCGCCCACGTCGTGCCGCCCCTTCCTGGTGTGATCTTGATTCCGTTTGTTGGCCGTACTCCGCGTACTTACCGGGAATTGTTTGTTTAGTGTATTAACTTCAGACGGTGAGACAACGCCCGTACCCAGGACGCTGTCGTGCTCGGAAAGGAGGAGAGAGAGAGAGAGAGGCAGCACGGCTGCTGCACTCAACAAAGGGGGTCCCGGTGCTTCATCACCGTACCCCTACCTTAAAGGTTCTACACCATCTGCGTCACACTTGTACGTACGGGTAATGCATCCACCATGTCCGTAGACCCACGAACAGATTCAAACGCCATCTGCGCGTGGGCAAGCGCTCCCTCTCACAACAAGCAGCAGAAACGAAACCGAGGTCGCGCGTGTTCTAGGTTCTACTATATGGTATCCCTTCGAAGATAGGTCGTTATTTGCTCAAGATGATAAAGGTGTGGATGCGGGGACCGTGTGGCTGGTCCGCCTACGTCACCGAATATTCCTTCCTCATCCGTATTTCGTTACATAGGTAGTTTTTTGTCTTAGCTGACGTTTGCCGTGTAAGCGTCGATGACGTAGGGCGGGCGTTACACTCGCGGCCGCTCCGTTGTTAAGTATGACCACATTGGCAAAATCTATTTTGTAAACATAGACATGATCGAATCTCCTCTGTTGCAGTCCATTATTTTACCACTGACTGCATTATACTGTTTGCTTTTCGCCACGAGAAACGAACGGCCGCAATGAGGATGATGACGAGATGCTATACGATCGCATGCCTAGTCTCGGGAATATGAGCTTTTGGGTGTTCACGTTTGTCCAGTATCGACTACACGTCATCACATCCTTCTCAAGCACTCAAACGTTTCGCCCTGCTCCTTGTTGTACAGATTCCAAAACATCGGAGAGGCATCATGATGGCGTGCAGATCTCGGTTGGTTTTGGCAGTAGTCGCTGCCGCGATTGCCCCCCTGCTGGTGACCGCGACGGGCGTCCACCTCGAACCGGAGGAAGGTATCGACTGGAAAAACGCCCCACGGGTTGACCTGGTAACTCGAACGTTTGCTGGTGGCGTAAAAGCTTTTTGGGACATTTTTCTCCCAAGCTTCCTGGTGAGTCGCGGAGGCAATGCGTGGCAGTAAGTCGCAGAGGCACTGCGTTGGACGGACCACGACGCAGAGAAGGTTTAGTGATAAACACTCTATGCTTGTGTATTGGGAAGTTCTTCCACAAAGCAGGGTGGATTCAAACGTTGTTCCTTCTCAGGTACAGATATTACCTCGTTGTTGTGCCAGGCGAAATATTTTGCCGCAGTAACGTTACATCATCCCACCACGACAGGGCACACGTCTCTCCGCGTGGTGCCTCTCCAACTGCGCTCATATCCAAGCTTGTCCATTACCTATTGCATTAGGGGGTGCATGCATTTGGCATAGAATGGTATCGGCTGGACAGTCGACTTCAGGCGTGGGACTGTCGATGACGAATTGCGACCAACAAAAGCGCTACATGAAAGCACAACCGTCGATGACTATTTCGGATTTTTTTGCTTGCAAGATCAGGAAATGCTATGCCTTATCGCCCACGTGTTTAATATCCTTGCGCACCCCTGTTCGAATTACTGTGTACCGGATGCAGTTGTTTTGGCCGATTTCATCATGGACATCCAGCGGTGTAGTGGTCATCTTGGACGGGGAAAACGCTTTAGATCATGAAGCTGGGACCATCCTTCAGCACATGAACTTCCCCTTCGTCTTTCAAGTAAAGTACGAGGCACCCGCCCCGAACGGCACGTTGTGCGGCGACTGGAGGAAAGAAGGGTATGCGAGGCAGCAGTATTCGAATTTTTATGGAAATTTGTACACGGACGCCGAATATGTGGCCATCATCGACACGGACACCAAAATCATCGCTCCTGGTGAGGGGAAAGTGTTGGTTATTTCGTTATTAGGTGCAACACTAGCCCTGCTATCTTCCAACCCAAGTTTCTGGATTATTGTCGAGTTCACGCTCTATAACTTTTCGGGGGTGGGTTAGATTCATCAACACACGAATGCGTGAAAACAACGAAATACTCGTGAGAACGGCCGTGGCGCATGTCAGATGGCGAACACCTGGACAAATCCGTTATTATTACCCTTCCCGCTTTCTAAGCAGCAAAAATGTTGTGGACAGCAACAAGCAGAGATGAATGCATGTAGCCAGCTCAAATTTGATTGAGCCCATGTGTGTTTCCGGAGGACCAAATATAGAGTGGGAATGGGGGGAGAATGCAGCAAAAACATCGTTCTTTATCAGTCGGTAATTCGATTAAAGCTCGCGAGCGAATCACGGCAGATGGTCCACGAAAGCTCTCTTCAACGGCTACGCCACGCCCCTCGCCGCTCCCCGAGTCCCCGGGGCTCCGCGATGATGTGTTTTCCCCCAACCATGTATTTCTTTATCACAGGTCATTGCTGGAAAAATTATCCCGGGCAGTTTCCCCGCAGTGCTGGAAAAACTCAATTGCCCCAAGCCTCAGCCCCAGGAGACGCCAATCTCTACAACTTTTCGGGAAAATCTACCAGCTTAAGCAACCCCGTAGATCGAAATGGTGCCCCATGTCAGTTTAGATTTTGTAGCGTGAGACTTGCAATGACTCAGCGAACCAGCGCAGCAAAGTTGTGGTCGGCTGAGTGTCGTCGCATGACTTGACAGCAGGAGCAGACAACACAAACAATTCTAGATGTGTACTGGTGGATTGCGTATAATAAGTGTAGTTGCACGCATCAGCCCAAAATTTGAAAAATGACGGATCTTCTGGGCCTTTTGATACGCCGCCACTGTTCTCCACGAATGTAAGCACGATCGACAAACGGATTGAACATGAATGTAGCCCGTTCACCGTGTGGTCTCTAAATGCAATAACTGTAGAGGCCTTTCGATTGAGCACAAATGCTTGACCAGTCATATGTACATATAGGATTTGGTCACTTTTCATGCCTCGGCATTTCTTTTTCTCCCGGCAACGAGTCTTTTTTCTCGATTCCTTCGCAGGGGCACAGAGGAGGCTTACCGGTAGTTAACGCTCGTGTCTGGAGCTCGGCAGGCCACCGTGGCGCATGTGGTTGACGCTCAAAGTCACGAAAACTGGCTCAATGCCCAGGGGACGCATTCCGTGACGACGAAGCCTGCCGAACCAATTCTGAAACCTCTCTGCTACCTACTACCCGCTGGATAGACATTTAGTGTACACACGAACTAGCGCTATCCACTAGGCCAGGAGCGAAAGCGAGAGAAAAACTCACTTTGCAAGAAAAGCTCGCCTAAGCCGGGATTCGAACCCCTGTCCTGACCTCTGGAAGGATTCGAGGATACCAACTAGACCACCGGGGCGACCGGTGACGTGGATACCACAGCACCAGTAACAATGTACCCTAGTTTTTTTCGAATGGTGGCGGGTCATGACATGGATACCGTAGCAGCACCATCAATATCGTACTCCGACTTTTCCCGAATGGCTGTGGGCTATGACACGGTATTGGATTCAACAGCAGCATCAACAACTTACTTACGCTAAGTTGCATCTGCATTATTACTCCTTCTTGGGGCTGATCATGTATAGAACCAGCTGATGTGCTTATAACATGGGCAAGTCTGTTTCGAAAAAGTCAACAGCCAAAAATGTGCACCAAACACAAAAGCAAAAAAATTCGAGTGGCTGTGGGCCACGACACGGATGATACCACAGCAGCCTCAAAAACGTACCTCGCGACGTATTGTATCAATGCATCTGCATCAGGACATACAGTAAATGACACATTAAACACACCCCCTGGATCGATGTTCAAATCTCGATTTCTCAACAACAGAAAGAGTCACAGCGCCGGAAACGGCGGCGTTGGATACTCCTGCTCGAGGCTGGTCATCATGTGTGCAGCTACGTGCCTCAGCTGATGTACCTATCTTACAACATGTGCAAGTCCGATTTCTTTCTGTGACTTTTTTTTGTGGAAAGAGATGGATTCGTTGCAAAAATATAACGACGTCAATAATCTAATTCTGGGCTCCACCTATGCAGTAGTGGCTACGCTATCAGAGAGTGTCGGGACAAGCCAGTTTCCCTCTGGTAAATCCGGCTTTCGTTTCATCCGTCTTTGCCACGGTTGAGGAAAATATTCTATATTCTCTCAAGATAAATGTCGATACTTGGTATGGAGCGGTAGTGAGCAGCGTGGCGCTACTCAATACCCTGCAGTAGTCTTATCTGCGATGCTGATGGTGCACGAATCCCGATACACACCAGCGTGAATCGTTTGTGGTGCAGCGACGCGTGCACCACAGAGGGGCAGCAGGTGTGCGACAGGAGCGACGATAATTGTATGTGCGGCCACCGTTCAAAAGTTTGCACTCCACCTGCCGCCGTTGTTTCTCTCCGTTTTGGTGCACACGCACCAAGGAACAAAATGTTAAGTCTTCCCGCTGTGCGGACGCAAACTGCGGCATACACCTGGCGGCGAGCGTATCACACATCACACCGTCGAGGAGCACGACCAGCAGCATAGACATAGGATTGTGTCAGGCTCACAACTTGCCCGCCCCATTCGTCTCAAGCTTTCCGAGTTTCCCGCCCAAGTGAAAGGAAGCAGTCCAGCATGAACCAAAAATAGCAAAACACCGTTGATGGTCATAAGACGTCATGACAGTAATGCGAGAGGCGGAGAGGCCCTGCTGCAGCCGTGCAGCAGCAACAGCAGCATACAGGGCACGGCTTTTGCGGAGACAGTCAGTAGCGCGACGCAAGTAAGCAACCTGAACCGATCCCGCGGGAAACCATCCTGATAACGCACAGCAGCAACAGGAGTAGATCATCACGCCATCGACGGATTATCTCGATGATGGTAGATGTGATCTGGACTTGGGAGGGTGTGTTATTTGTGTGATCATCGATCTGCTCTTTTTGAAGCAGTCGGTCGGACCCACTCAACATCAATACACACCCGCCAGGTTACACATGGCGCATGCCCGCAGTATACCCTCGGCACACAGGTCGTATAGGCCCGGCCCCTCCGGGTTTTCATAGCTGGTCTCAGACCAGCGTCTCAGCGGTGATGCGTTGGTTGGTGGTGTTCTTGCGTCTCTGTCGGTGTTTGTTGTCCTGGTTTGAATCGCACACGCGCGCGATCTCCGCTTTTGTGCACGCTTTTTCCGGGTAGAAACCCCGGGGTTGGGGAGCAAGATCTCCTGTGAAATTTGAGCACATATGCCTGTGAAGCACGGCCATCTGTTGCCGAAGCACGACCAAACCGGTGTGACGGAAAAGCGCGCTATTATTGTTCTTCCTCAAAACCGAACACATCGTCAATCGATGTCCTGTAGATATCGTTCTGGTTCCAAAAAAGGGCTATACCCGCTTCCCGGAAACGCAGTTTATTTGGTGCCCCTGTATCGCGCGGCGCAACATTGGCCGATATATAGAGCCTTTTCTTCCCTTCTGGGAGTGAAGGGAAAAAAGGTCGCTCGGTTCGCTCGCTCCGCGGCTCATAACAAGAGAATATTTTCTTCAACCGTACAGCTATAGAAAAATCGAAATGCCGTCAAAGAGGACGTCCCTTGTCCCAATAATATTGCGTAAGAGGTTGAGGAGAGCGTGCATGTTTCATGTCACGTAACGCTGCAGGGGTCAGCACCTCCGGCTAGCTCGAAGCACCGCTCATTCTGTTGGTTGGCGGAGATTGAACCCAAGTACGCGGTACGCTCTTGGTACCTGTGTTGAGAAACCAAATCATGGTGTCGTGGGATACATTTTTTGCGCCTGTATGAGCTCTGTAGTTTTGTTGAGTATTTAGCTGTGCTTTTGCTCGCACCTCTTCCTGCACATCCAGTAAAAAGTAACTCACTCACCCGCTGAACCAGTCCTTCCTACCCCAATCCCAATCAATCCCACCCACTTGAAGCCCCTGGCGTGTTGTCGGGGACAGCTGTCCATCAACTGCCTGCTTTGCAGGGAATGGTGTCTGCGGCGACTCTCTTTGATCCGGTAAGAGTTAGACCTCATTGGTCGGGACACGCCAACTTCGCTCTCCTAAATCCGTACTTTCTCTTCAACACTTCCCCCTAAACCGTAGCCGCTACTGCACATACATAGGGGTTCAACAAAAATAATAATTCAATTGTTTCGCGCGAAGCGCGAACAAGAACGGGCGGAGAAAGCGACGCAGACGTAGATTGATATGGGTGGAGCCTCACAGAGAGGCCACCATTGCTACTGTCAACGCTCACACCTCACCCAACACCACCAGTCAGCCGTGCACGCAGGACTCCTGCTGTATAGGAGCGCGGGGACGAGTGAAAGGGATTTGTGGTGTGGACGAAGCTCTCATGAATCATCATCAGCTGTTGCTGCTGCTGCTGTCGCTGTGTGGATGTGCATCACGTACGCTCGTATCAGCGGCGACGGCCTTCAATAACCGCTCTCGGAGCTCCGAATGATGTGTTCCTTTGGCCATTTGGCCTGCAGCAGTGTCTAAGGCTCGTTGGGTTAGGGTTAAGGATGCACCACTGTGTAGCAAGCTCAAAAGATCGACCTGAAGCAGCAAGAGCAGATTTGACCTGTGTCGCCTCCCTCGAGTCTGGTGCTGTCGATAGCAGTCAACCGGCTCTGACAGTCGAACCAAACCTCATATTATGTATGCCTTTGGCTTCCCTCGGTCTACAGCAGTCTCGTTTGTTGTGCTACGTCTTTCGTCGGGAGATTCCCGCTCGGCGGCGTGCCCATCAACCAATCGTCTGTCTCAGTCCTACAGTATATTCTTCATAGTCGACATGATATGGTGGGAGGAGGGCATCTACCCGGCTCTGCCCATCTAAAACTTCCATGATTTTATTTGTTCCGCCGGCCCAACATAATTTTGGCCCTACGTATGGGTCCTGTTTAAAAACCTGATCCCTCCATCAATCTACGCCATACATCAATGGCTCGCCAAACCCGTGCCGACTCCGCCAGCTCTGCTGACAATTCATCGTCCTCCACCGCTGGGTCCTCGCTTCGCGGAGGTCTCAACCGGCTGCTTCTGCAAACGCAGCCCGCGAGGGGTATTGCCACATCTACCCCGCCCGCCGCCCGCGAGCGGTGCCGGAACAACGGAATCTATTTGAAGACTTCATTGAAAACGTGTACCGCTACCTCTTAGAAGCTACAAACTCAACATCTTCAACGACCGTGGCATTCTAGCACCCACAATTGACAACATTGACCAGATCAATGACTTCGTCCTTCGTAAAACCATGAGGTGTTTACGAACATCTTTGTTCAGACAAGATCATCAAAAACGACGAGAGCATGCCAGATGTTGTTTCCGTTGAAGGTCTCATAAGCATCAACAGCCCCGGCACGCCACCGCACAAACATAACCTCCAAGTTGTTGGAGCATTGAGCTCCTTCATCAGGAACATTATCTTTGATTGCGGTCTCGTCAGCGGCAAACGAGGAGTCATTCAAGGTATATTTCAAGGCGTGTTATCGACGTTGCAGTTCTCTCCGATGAACCCCCCAACATCGTCAAAATACCACTCATCTGCTTCGACGTCAAAGTGGGAGCGCGCGGTACTACCTTTCAGATTGTGTTACGCAATGGCCATCACAAGTTTCCAGGACAAGTT